TAAAGACCATGTGAAATTTGTAATTATTGAAGATGAAATAGGAAATTCTTATAAGAATTATAATTACCTATTTGTGCTATACAGTTTTCTTTAATAAAGAAATGATTGAACCTATGACAGTCCAACAAAGTCTTGCTCAGGCTGATGCATTTAATAACCTCACACATAAAACCCGTTCTGTAACTTTGGATATGAACGGAAACAATCCTGCGTGATGGGTAGTTTAAGTAACCATAGATAACTTTTTAATGTGTTATATAACATATCTGCCATCTCAGAGGCCCATATGCTTTCAAAACGTCAATGTTCTTAAGTAATGAATATAACTTATATTGTATAAACCGTATTAACTCAATATTTTACAAAATCTCAGACTTCTTGACGAGCCCAAAAGCTCAGTTTCTTTGAGCAAGTAAGTGTGCTCAAATGAATAGTAATAAAAATAGTTTGGTGGTTGTTGCTCAATTGGTAGCGACCTCAGTTTACACTGTGGGACCAGAATTCGATCCCCCGCACGAGTGGAATTGTTGGCATGTTTCTTTTCACTTGCTGCCCTTGTTCATCTAGCAGGAAGTAGGTACATTTTGGGGGCGTCCCCCCGGTCAGGATTTCTTTAAATAACCCAACAGTTGTACAGGAACTTGATTGGATTATCCGGAGTTTCTAACCAGGTAAATAACCCAAAAAAAAAAATCTTCTAAGTCTAGGGATTTTTTTTAAATTTTAATAAAAAATATGGTATATAAATTATATTATATATATATTTTATAATATATATATATATTAATATATATATATTATATATATATATAATTTAAAATATATATTTTTATATTATATATATATATTTTAATATATATATTTAAAATTAAATATATATAAATATATTATTATATATATATATATATATATATATATATATTATATATAAAATTTTATATATTATAATATATATATAATAATATAATTATAATTTTTTATATATAATATAAAATATATTTTATATATAATATATATATTTTATTTATAATTAAATATATAATATAATATATATATATTTATATTTTATATTATATATAAAAATTATATATAATTTTTATAATATATTTTATATATATATTAATATAAATATATATATATATATATATATAAAATATATATATATATATATATATATTATATATATAAATATAAATATTAAATATATATATATTAATATAATATATATATATAAATATAAATATATATTAAATATATAAATATAATTATAAAAATAAATATATATAAATAATATTATATATATAAATTATATTTTATAAATATATATATATATATAAATATATATATAAATTTATATATAAATATAAAATATATATATATAAATATATATATAAATATAATATATAAATATATATAATATAAATATATATTAAAATATAATATATAATATATTTATAAATTTTTATATATAATAAATATATATATATAATAAATATATATAATATATATATATATATATAATATATATATATATATATATTATTATATATATATATATATAAATAAATAAATATATATCTATATATATATTATTAGCACATCGGCCGAGTCCCACCAAGGCAGGGTGGCCCGAAAAAGAAAAACTTTCATCATCATTCACTCCATCACTGTCTTGCCAGTGGGGTGCTTTACACTGCAATTTATAAAACTACAACATTAACACCCCTCCTTCAGAGTACAGACACTGTACTTCTCTCTTTTATGTGCGGGTTATTAGCGTATACTGATAGCTCTAAGGATCTATCCATATCTTCAGTTCCCTTGTATCATCTGGAGTGACGAAGTAACAGAACCCAAACTCATCCATTAAAGATGTCCTTCGTGTATGCACCTGTGTCCTTTCATCCATATTGTCGGTATCATTACACTTTCTACTTTCATTTATCGGACACCGCATTACACAATGAACGTCACATACAGAGACTATCTCTCCTGCTGAGAACGCAGTCTTCACAATCGACTATTTCCTGGAAGACTGCCTTACCGATATGGTTATCCCTAGGTCTGCCCACATTAACTGACGTCATCTAAATACCTCATGTTGCCTGCTATCAGAGCCTACCTTAAAGAAAGCGCAGGCGAATCAAGACAATCTACAAGCGATGTCCACAAGGATTACCACTCTCGTACCACCCTTCCTTCTCCTGACAGATGCTCTGCTGAAATTATTCTCAAAAAAAAAAAAAACTACTACTGCTAACGTACAGCAAAGACTGAAGCTAATACGCCAACTACAACTCATGTTCTGAAAGCGAATGCAGTCAAAAGGGAAGACCAGAAATAGTGAACAATATATTCTCGTACAATCTTGCACAGAAACTGAGGCTCTCAACTTAGGCTTAAAGTTTACGACAGAAATTCGTAAGAAAAATCGCATCCTGGATCCCATCACTAGGAACCACACCATGTTAATGACTCAGACGTCCAGAAAGGTTCCCTACAGGGCATCATCGCAGCAGCTGTCACGGAACCACCTTCTGTCAACCCTAGAAGATATATTAACCTAAACAAACTGGTCCTTAACGACAGCATATAAATCACTAGAGCAGACAAAGGAAGGTGGTGTAATTCTTTACACCAGTAATAACAACAAAATCCTTAATCTTCTGAACGACACCAACACCTTTTCCAAGAAAAGAAAAGCGTGAGTCACTTTTCTCCACCTCATTATCAAGGCAGTTAACACTAAATGTAACGATATAAAATACCTTTTAGTCAACGTAGTTCATTGTAATTTTATATGATGTATATCAGCTGTATTCAGTACCAACAAGACGAAAAATTAGACACATGTGCAACATCTCGGCATCTCTATTTGTGGACGTTTCGTCATCTAGTGGCTTTATCGATACAGTACATGGACGTAATAGAAATATATACAACAATTAGTGAAAGCTGAGGAAATCAGTCCCTCAGCCTATAAGCAGGTGATGAGCTCTGTAGTCTCGAGGAATCTGCAGCACAGGCAGGAAGATAGGTGCTTCTATACTAGAGTCAGAGGATGTGCAGCAGATGAGGGCATTGTCACTGGTAGGCGGGGTGTCCCAGGTTTTACAAGGTTTTATCAGGTTTTACAAGGTTTTCTCAGATTTTGCAAGGTTTTATCGGGTTTTGCAAGGTTTTATCAGGTTTTTCAAGGTTTTATCAGGTTTTACAAGGTTCTATATTGATTTCACCTGTTTTTCAAATTTTATCAGGTTTTACAAGAATCTGTCAGGTTAATCTAACACCCATCAAGCAGGAAACTTTTTCTGTCATTCCCCACCACAGAACGAGGTGGGAGATGAGTGGAGCAAACTGCCACGTAGTAACAAAAAAGGCACAATACCGTGACTGGAACGATACACAAATAACCCGCACATAAAAGAGAGAAGCTTACGACGACTTTGTCAATGGTCCAAGTCGGACCGAAACGTCGTCGTAAGCTTCTCTCTTTTATGTGCGGGTTATTTGTGTACTGCCACAATAACCCGCACATAGAAGAGAGGAGCTTACGACGACGTTTCGGTCCGACTTGGACCATGACTTTGTAAATGGTCCAAGTCGAACCGAAACGTCGTCGTAAGTTCCTCTCTTCTATGTGCGGGTTATTTGTGTATCGTTCCAGTCACGGTATTGTGCCCTTTTTTTTTTTGTTATTTAGTGAGGCAAATAATATGGATTCTGTACCTACAGGGGCTTTGCAAGTTTCAGTCCAGTAAGGCTGGTGTTAATTTTTCTTGGATATCACCAGTTTGAACGACATAACATAAAGATTTAAATAGAATCGATGAGGACAGTCTCATGAAAATAAAGGAAATAACTGCTTAACAAAAAAAAAACAATAAAAACAAATAAGAGAAAAGGAACCATGACATACTTGTGTAAGTTATTAAATGCAAGATGAGGAAACAGGGGTATACAAGCAAAACAATCTGTAAAGTAACATGTAAGAAACTGATATAATATGGCACTGCTACAGTACAGTAATGTAATTTATCAAACGAACGTGTCTTATTTTTAAAAATGAAGCACACTTGTTGAGAGCCAGAGTTCACAATGCAACGTACACTTCCTCATAACATGTATGCGCACACTCTTGTTTACAAGGAGACTGGAGGGAGACAAATTCAACTACAACTGTACAAGGAAAAACATTCTCTCTCGTTTTGACTTTAATAAAGACAAGTTTATTGGGGACTCCTTTTCCCTTCCGCCATACAAACTATCCATAAAAGTGTATGTGTATACAGGTGTGATCTGAGGGTGTGAGGTAGACAGGGTAGTGGACAGTAGAGCATAAAGTTGGGTGTTGAACCTGGCCGTCTTACTCGCCTCGCAGCAGCAGCTCTACATGACTTTGGTGAGAACTTAGGTTAGCGGCCGCCATGTCTACATAACCTTCTCTTTAAGGGACACGCTATCACCTCCATGATAATCTATTTTCCTCATCTGAATGTTCCTAGACAATATATATGTTTTCCTTTATTTACTTAGACGTTATTGTATAATTAAATCAATAATTTTTTTTTTATATTTCAAAATGTTGTAAAGATACTTTTTTGTGTAAATTTCTAGCTTACACATTTTTTTAGATTTTATATTCATTTCTGCTCCAGTTATATTTTTAGTCACAGATCATTTGCATTCTTCCTAAAATATTGCCTTTTTTGTTAAGATGTTTGGCTATAAGTAAAAATGTATTTCCTTGATAGGATAAATAAATCAAGTTTGTTATATGGTAAGTTGTCAAGTTTTGAGATCAGTGTTACCTAGGCAGCTCTCATCACTCTCCCAGACGCACAACTAGAAACGCTATATGCTTTCCTGGCATCATCCTTGTATCATTTTAAGTTAGCCAAGAATTTTTTGCCATCTCACATTTATTAATATATGAAAAGTTGCAAATGCTTGACGAGTCAAGGCCAAAAGTGAGAGGCGGTACGATAAGTTTGTTGTAGGGTGGCGCCGCGGGACGTGTGGCTTGTGTTACCAGCCGCTTGTGTTTTATTGTAGATAAGTGATCCTAGTAGGAAGTGTGCTTCGTCTAGTGCTTAGTGAGCCTAGGTGTGTGATACTAGTGCTTAGTTAACCTGAGTGGTGGTATAGAGTGGCGCTGAGTGTTACTTACGGGGAAGAGGGTGATGATGAAGCCATCAATGTTTCCCACATCCTCAAAACTTGTTACTTGCATCCTCTCCCTTAACTACATCACTTAATGGCATCACTTTAATTACTTAGGCATTACACACTCATTGCTATGTGATGTTACCGACAAAATATTTTCGCTTGAGAGATGTGTGGCAAAAATGTTTTTAACAAGTGTAACCGAAAATATATTGAAAATTATTCAGAACATCATATTTTATCACCATTAATAAGTCGAGGTGGAAAAAGATAAAATATTAATGTAATGAAATATGAAATAAATTATGAATTGGGAAATCAAGTTACACTCTGGAGGAAAAAAAAAGTTGTTTGAAAAGTGAGGTTGAAGGTTGCGTGTTATGAAGGTGGTAAGACCCACCAGCCTCCTCTGTCTCCATTCTGCTAACTTACTCCATGTAAGGGCTTTATCTTCACCATTTTTCACAAAATATCCGCAGCAGTAACCATCTACATCAAGGCAACATCCTAGAGACTACTACTGTTTCTCTGGAAAAGTCGAGACAGGAATTATGATTTGTGTATTTGTGTGGAATTGCGTTTGTTTATGTCTTGCCGTTGGCACATGTGCTTCCCGAGTATGTTGTTGTAGAGGTTCTTTTGTAGCACCAAGCCCAGAGTTTTCTTGTAGCACCTGGCCCAGGCTTCTCTCATAGCACCTGATCCAGGCTTCTCTTGTAGCACTTGGTCCACAATTTTCTTCTAGCACCTGACCAGGCTTCTGTAGCACTTGCCCCAGGCTTCTCATGTAACACTTAACCCAGGCTTATATAGCGCCTGGCCAAATTTTCTCTTGTAGCAGCTGACCTAGGCTTTTCTTGTAGAATCTAGCTCTGACTTCTCTTGTAGCGCCTGGCCCAGGCTCCTCTTCTGGCGCCTGACCCAGGCTCCTTTTGTGGCGCCTGGCCTAGGCTCCCCTTGTAGCGCCTGACGAAGGTTTCTTTTGTAACACCTGGCCCAGGCTTTTCTTATAGCGCCTGCCCCAGGCTTCTCTTGTAGCGCCTGGCCCAGGCTCCTCTTGTAGTGCCTGGCCTAGGCTCCTCTTGTAGTGCCTGGCTTAGGCTTCTTTTGTAGTGCCTGGCAGAGACTCCCATATTCAATATTTCCACAATGAAAATATATTACAGTGTGTCAGTTTAATTATCATAAGATAAATCTTCACAACATATTAACAAACTATATGTGCCTAAACTTCTGCATTCTTCATGTAATCATTGTAAAATGTTATATTACTGTCAGTTAAATCAACTGTATTAACCTAAATAAAGCGAATCTTATCACATCTTAACACGTCTTTTCAACTCTTGCATTTGTGCTCATCTTGGCCTTTTGTGAAGGTAATGTTGAAGTGGTCCCAGTGAGCACATACAGGAGTTGGCCCTCACGGCTCCGTGCCCCGGGCACTCCTATTAATGCCATGGACTGTTATGTGTGAGGGCCACTTGCTGACATTTGTCTCACACTATCACGTGTGTCTCACTGTCATGTGTGTCTTACACTATCACATGTAAGTATCTCACACTACCATGTATCTCACGTCATCTGGTATCCACTTTAACAATGTTGAGTGAGCGTTTTGGACGAGCTTAAAGCATTGACGAAATAAAATCGACGAGATCCCCTTAGAAAAAAAAACTTAAATATATGTGATGGTATATAGAAAAAAAAAGGAGAAGGTCACTATGGTTGTGTAGGTAATTTTTATATTCGGAGGTGGGGGTGGGGGGTAATAGCTCGTGCGGCCTGGTCCTGAAGTCGGCAATCATCACCCACCCACTAAGACAAATTTCTAGCACATATAGAAAAATAAATAAAAATTAAGAGGCAGATAATATTACTGCAGTGTGACGAATAATTCTGCTGCAGGGTAACGATAATATTGCTGTTGTGGAGACGATAATATTGCTGTTGTGTGACAATAATTTTGCTGCAGTGTGACGTTAATTGTGCTGCAGACGATAATTTTGCTGTAGTGTGATGATAATTTTGCTGTAGTGTGATGATAATATTGCTGCAGTGTGGCAATATTGCTGCAGTGTGGCAATATTGCTGCAGTGTGGCAATATTGCTGCAGTGTGGCAATATTGCTGCAGTGTGGCAATATTGCTGCAGTGTGGCAATATTGCTGCAGTGTGGCAATATTGCTGCAGTGTGGCAATATTGCTCTTGTATGACGATCATTTTGCTGCAGTATGACGATAATTTTACTATAGTGTAACTATAATATTGCTGCAGTGTAACTAATGCTGCAGTATAACTAATATTGCTGCAGTGTAACTATAATATTGGTGCAGTGTAACTAATATTGCTACAGTGTAACTATAATGCTGCATTGTAGCTATAATATTGTTGCAATGTAACTAATATTGCCGCAGTGTAACTATAATTCTGCTGCAGTTTAACTATAATATTGCTGAAGAGTAACGATAATATTTCTGTAGTGTAACGATAATATTTCTGTAGTGTAACGATAATATTGCTGCAGTGTAACGATAATATTGCTGCAGTGTAACGTTAATATTGCAGCAGTGTAACGATAACATTGCAGCAGTGTAACGATAATATTGCTTCAGTGTAACCATTAAATGACTTGTTTTTTCAAGGACACACACAGTATCTCTAACATAATACAGTATTGCAAAGGGGTTTACCTGGGACCTGTTTCAAGACTTTTCCTACTTGCTTTACGTGGCCTAGGACTAGACCACTGTTCATTGCCTGCTCAACTTAGGTTGTTGTTGCTGTTGCTGGTCAACGAACTAAATTAAGTCGAATTCCAATAAATTATTTTTATGCATGGTAGCCAGCATCCTGGAATTGTAGAAAGCATCCGGAACTGTAGCGAGCATCCTGGCATTGTGACCATTGTCCGGTATTGTGTGCGTCTATTGTTAAAAATGGTGATGACTCCACCGTGATTACTAATGGTAAAAGATGTATTTCACACAGCCACGAGATGTAAGTGAGCCCTCTATTTTGTGTCTCTTAGACTACCATCATAGATAAAAACTGCACATGAGAAGAGGCTATAAATACTAGAATCAAGTTACACGATATGAATGAGAGCGGTGAATGAGAAGTTCCAGGGCTAGGTTAACTGTCGAAGTCTACTAGAAGGAAGGCATTAAGTCATGAGATTTGAATAGCACTTGAACTTGTAAGGTTACGCAGTGCTCTTGCCAATAAAAAAATAAATACAAAATATATATAAAACACTCAAGATAAAAGTATCAAAAATACAGACTACTAGCACAAACAAAAACACAACAAATAAATACTTTCACACCAAGTTAAAATAAAGTCACAGCATTTTAAGAAAAATAATCAGTCGATATCGGAAAACTGCTGAAAGTTTGCCGAGATCCCTGTGTGCACTCGGCTAAAGATCTGCTGGCCTGGTGGTTGAGATGCTAAAAGATATATGAGTTGTAATGCAACAGGAGTTGACTTCAGCATTTTATGCTTGCTTGTACTGTGTGTAACTTGCTGTGTACCATGCAAGCTCCGTCCCAATCAGTGTTATAGAATATTTTCTTATTCAATATTAAGATTTATTTAATTCTGAAATATTTCTTATTCAGTATTAAGATTCGTTTAATTCTGAAATAATAAATAAGTTGCTTGAATGTTAACTACGAGTGTCTAAGAACGTAGGTTGTTAGACAGTACCCATCCAGAAAGCTGCTACCCAGTGCGAAACAAAATCCTGTTAAAACGCTTATTCCTGATGTTTCCTTTCTCTCATGAATATGTAAGATGACAGGAATTCTTATAAACTTCTTACCTGAAGGTTATTTGAAAACAATTCCTGGGCCATCGACACAACCCAATATGGTCTCACACCAGATCAGGCCATCAACCTTCTGGTTGATTGCCCGATCAATCGGGTTGTTGGTATTATCTGCACGCAGTTCTACGTAGGGACCATAGCCCAGCTGTTTAGGAACCTATACTGTTCCCTCATACAAATAGCTTGGGATTGGTTGGTATGTAGGGCGGACACATAGCACAAAATTTGAAAGGTAGGCACAAAAACGTCATCATTTCAGGTTGCAAAGAAGCCTTCCCTACCTGTGAAATATACCTCTGACCTGTTTCGAGAGTTTTCCTACTCGCACAGCTTAGCATGGGCCATGCTTGTCCTTACTTCGTCAACCATATTGTTGCTGTCGACAGCCCCTTGACTAATATATCCATCACCATCTGGATGATGTGGCACTATTGATCGAGTTTTCTCTTGAAGACTTCTACACTTATCTTGTTTTACTGTAGGAATACAGTGGTAATAAATCTTGGATATATTTGGGTACTATTGTGAGACAATAGTTATGTGCTGATATTATCCGATGGACTATATGTACTCGATGTATTCAAAATACATCACAAAAAACATGTACAGTAATGCAAAGTTAAGTAAGAAACTGTAACAAATTAAACCATTAGTTTCCGGGTTGGTTTTTTAAACTCAGACAAGATATCTGCTACTGACAGTGTTGTCGTTTCCTCCTCAAATACTAGTTGAGCTAGTTCATGTTTAATCCTACAACTTCGTATCGCAGAAGCATTCATCACACACATAAATATATATATGTCGTGCCGAATAGGTAAAACTTGCGATTTTGGCTTAAATAGCAGCGCTCTTCTTGCCGAATAAAGGAAGTGTATGCAATAATTTCGCAAAAATCATTCTGAACCTAACGAAAAAATATATTTCATTGTGTTTATTTATTATTAAATTATTGTAAGCTTGTCTAAAATATGTTTAGTTGGATTAGGCTAAATTAAATTGCGCTTGTTATAATAAGGCTAGGTAAGTTTTCTAAGGTTCTTTTGATACAAAATTATTAATTTTTACATTAGCATAAATGAAAAAAATATATTTTTAATCGTATAAAAGAAAA